CTCTCTCTCTCTCTCTCTCTCTCTCTCAGCTAGTATTGAACTCACAGAAATCCACCTGCCTGGCTCTGTCTCCAGAGAGCTGGGACTAAAGGAACATCACCACCCAGCCATAATGCTGTTTCTTAAGAATAACGATTTTCAATCTAAGACTTCTATACCTAGCCAAACTACCAAGCAAATGTAAAGACAAAAATAAATACATAAATAAATAAATAAATAAACAAACCTGTTCCAGAGAACATGAAATCACAAATCTCTCACTTTCTAGAAAATCCTGAGGAAGTCCTCAAGCTCTTAATTCAATAAGGAGAAACATGGGTCAACAGAAAGAAAGGAACACTAAAGAAATGACTGTGTAACTGTGTAGCAAAGTTGCAGGTTAATAACTATACTACGCTGAAAGTGTGGGGGAACCTGGCCCAGAGCTGGTCCAGGTAATAGAAATTACTGAGGGCCCTCTTCGCTAACATGTCTTTTTGCCAATGTTCTCATCATCTGTATTCAACAATGTCCAGGTAAACTGTAGACTGAAGAAATTCCTTCTCTGAGACTGATCACAACAGTGGTTTCCAACCTGTGGGTTGTAACCTCTTTGGGAGTTGAACCACCCTTTCACAGGTCACCTAAGACCATCAAAAATCATGGATGTTTACATTCCTAACAGTAGCAAAATTACAGTTAAATAAAGTAGCAGCAAAAGCAATTTTATTGTTGGGGGTCACAACTACACAGGGAACTGTATTAAAGGGTCACAGCATTAGGAAGGTTGAGAGCCACTAGCTTAGAATAAATTGTTCCATCAACGTCTACTTAGGAAGTTCCTAGTTTGATCTACTGGGAGCCCCAGGTTTGCCCATGATAACCTTTAAACACTCCTGTTCACTATCTGTCACTAAGCCTATGCCTCAGCCCAAACCTAATGACCCAAGAATGGGTCCATTTCTCAAGGCTTTTATTCATGTACAACACAGGCTTTCCTTTTTTGCTTTTTATTTAGTGTTGATTTAAAACTAAAAAATTAAACTCACCAAGTACTTATAATTGACCAAAAAAAAAAAAAAACCAAAATATTCAGGAGAAAAACCACTAGCATGGGATCACTTTACTTCAATCTGGAATAAACATTCACATATTAAAATAAAGATCCATTTAGATACCAAAAGAAACCCGTAGATAAGGGTTAGAGATACAGCTCAGTTAGAAGAGTGCTGTCCAGCATGCACACAGCCCAGAGCTGTGATCTCAAACACAGCCTAAAATCTGATGTGGAAGTGAATGCCTGGAATCCCAGCCCTCAGGAGGCACAAGCAGGAGGATCACAAATGCAAGGTCACTGTCAGCTACACAGTGAGTCCCAAGCCAGTCTGGGCTACATGAACTGTCAAGAAAGGAAGAATAAAATAGAGAATGTAAGAAAGGAAAACTAGTGGGTAGGGGAAGAAGGGGAACATATCGAAAGATAAACAGAACCAAAATCTAAAACTTTAAAGCATCTCAATTTTAAAACATGTTCCATAAAAAGGATGTTATAACCATGCGTTATAAGTGAGATGTAAAACATTCAGCAATATATCCCGTGATACTGACAACAGCTCTACTAACCTCTGATTCATCGCCCTTCTCTCTATAAGCAGTTGCAATACTGGTCTGAACAGCCTTAATCCAGGCCTGGCGAAGCTTTTCGGAATCTGCCTGGAGCATACAACTTCTAAAAAGAAACAGCATCATTTTGTCAGACAATAAATCAGAAGTCAAAAAAATCTACACTTTTTTCTCACTATGCTATTCAGCACATTTTTTTTAAAAAAAAAATGTATATGTATTAGTGTTTTCCTTGAATGTAAGTCCGTGCACCACTGTGTGTCTGCACAACGTCCTTAAAGGCCAGAAGAGGATGTGAGATAGACCCCAGTCACAGCCAGGTGTGCCACCAATGTGTGTTCTGGGAAGTGAACCCTGGTTCTTGGGAGGAGTGGTTAGTGCTCTTGACCAACAAGGCACCTCTCTAGCTGCCAAGTAATACTTTTAGCACAAAGTAATTTTAGTTGAAGTAGGGTTTCGTGTTCATCTATCTTTTGGGCAGGTATAACTGAGACAAAATCAAAGTACAAATAAAACATTATCTCCTAAAAACAAATGACCTATCCTCAACACTTGAAAATTATAAATAATCCAAACACAGTGCCACACCTCTGTAATTCCTCGTCTCAGAAGCTGGGAATGCTGAGTTCCAGGCCTGCTACTTAAAGGCACTACTTTACTACTTTAAAGGCAGCTACTTAAAGGGTGTGTGTGCATGTGTGTGCATGCGTTCGTGTGTGTGTGTGTGTTCTCTCATATTTTCTTCCCCCTCTCCCCACACTGTAAGCAGAACATTCATTTTAAAAAATGAGGTAGAAATTCCACCTATCATACACTCTCAATTCAACATGATCTCACAGAAGTTTCACACGGACCAGGCTTGGTGCCACAGACTTGTAATCCCAGCTACTCAAGAGGTTGAGTCAGAAGAATGACAAGTTCAAGTCTTACTATCATCAAGATATAAACAATAAAACGCACCCAGTTTGCATAGGGGCACAGAAATAATGTTTTACAGGAAGCAGAGAGCTCAGTAGTGCGTGCTTGCCTAACATGCTCCCAACCCACTAAGTAAAGAAGCAATCTCTGCAGATTTCAAAGAATACAATACATGAAGAAAAGTTATGTAAGTACTTGGATATAACATCTATGTTTGCTACTGGAAGTTATTTTCAAAACATTAATTCTATTACAGTGAAATCAGAAATTGGAGTTCTCAAATCTGGAAAAATCTTTGAGGCAAACTACAGAAACATAAAAACAGTTCTCAAATCCTTGCCAACAGCTTACTTTGTTGGAGAGACGACTTCAAAGCAGAACCGTCGCTCGATGTCCTCACAGTGCTTCACTGTGCAGAGCCTGAGGTCTTCCACCACCACCGTGGGGCTGTCCTGCAGCAAACAGGCAGACTCGGGGTTACCAGCTCAGCCTTCTGCACCAGCAGCAGCAACCACAACCTTCAAACACACTCCAGGAAATGGCCTCTTTAAAGGATATCACTTTATCATATCGTCACTATGTATAGAAGATACACAACTAATGGAGGTGATTCTCGATCATTCATTCAATGTCTTACCAAAACTGCTGTATGTAAACTACATGCGCTCATTTACAGAAAGGCCTGACTCCCAGGAGCGCTAGCAAGTACTCAGGCCTCCCCTTGTCGGTCCTGCTCCACCCACTCATGTCCATTACACCATGGAGTCCCTCTCATATACAGAAAAGCTACTTTCTCCCCCAGGAGAAACTTTTAATGAGTCGTGTTTTCAATAGCCCAAAGAGAAACAAGATATTGGTACATTCTTCTTAAAATTCTTACAAGAAAGATAACAGATTTTATCATTTTCTAATGAAAATACTAGTACAAAAATCAGAAGAGAACACCAACGGAAACTACAAGGTTCGCACGGGCCTGTAATTACTGTAGCCATCTCACAAGCAGTGGTTACATCTTTGCTTCACAAACTACCGCTGCAGGCTAAATACGTGGAAAGCAAGCTATCAATTAAAAAATGCGTCTTAAGTTCCAGTGTCTAGCACTCTCACAAGCCTTCCCAGTACAGCTTTCCAGTATATAAAAATCCCTTACTTTGCAATAAGGCTCAAGCAAACACACACACAGCAGTAACAGGGTACAGAGTTCCCATTTACCTTACTAACAGCATATGGTTTCATTTCTATCACCACCTGCCCTTAGATAATGTATATATACTAAAGACATACTTACTGTCCACAGCCTCAGAATAGAACTATGGGCCATCAGGTTACTCCTGCCACATGACTAACCAACAGAATTAGTAAAATAAAGGTAATAACCTCGCTACACAAAACATCTCAAGTCTAGGAATTAAAATTTCAGAATTGGAGCTGGAGAGATGGCTCAGTGGTTAAGGGTGCATACTGCTCTTGCAGGAGACAGGAGTTTGGTTCAGGCAGCTCACAAGTGCCTATTCCATCAGACCTGATGCCCTCTTCTTACCTCCACAGGGACTGCACTCAAGTGTACAAATCTGCACTCAAGACATACAAATACATGGCATAATTAAGAATAAAAATAAAATCCTAATTAAAAGGGGTGGAGAGATGTCTCAGCAGTTAGGTGCACTGGCTGCTCTTTCAGAGGACCCAGGTTTGATTCCAGGGATCTGTAACTCCAGTTCCAGGAGATCTGAGGGCCACTTCTAGTTTTTATGGGCACTGTATACATGGCACAAAGACATACATGCAGGCAAAATACCCATACACATTCAAAGAAGCAAAAAGAAAAAAAATATTTAAAAAAAAGAATTCCTAATTTAAATTCTTAATTTAAAAGGGTTACAGAAATGGCCCCACCTTGAAGGGAGCTTACTGCACACAGAGGACCAGAGTCGGTTCACAGCCCTCTCATGAGGTGGCCCCCAACCACCTGTGACTCCTAGTCCAGGGGGATCAAACACCGCAGGTCTCTGTGAGCACCTGCACTCACAAGCACAGAGATACATGCAAACACATACACATGATCAAAACAAGGATGAGGATGATGATGCAGGGCTCAGTGATGCAGGCCTTAATCCTGCACTCCGGAGGCAGACGCTGGCAGACCCCTGTGAGTGAAGTCAGTCCAGTGTAAACAGCAAGTTCCAGGCCAGCCAAGGCTGCATGGGCAGGCTGTGCCTTAAAATAACAATCTGGTGCCTCTGGGGGCACTGCAGTCACACGCACAAACGTGCAGTCAGACACACACAAATGTGGAGTCAGACGTACATGTACACATGAATGAAAATGAATCTTTTTATTTTTTTTTTCAAAAAGAATTTAGAATTCCAATCACTGTGCTCTGAAAGTTCAAGGGTCACCAGCTCCCACTCTGCTTGTTATATAAACCAAGAAGCAGTCATTTCGAGAGGTTTGCATATAGGTATTTATGGACTTCAGTATTCATAGAAACAAAGAGACAAAGAACTAAAACCAGAACTCACCAGCTTTCCGCTTTATTGTTTAATGACATACCTACCTTAAACTTTTTCTGGTAAACCAACTGATTGTTCTGTATGGAGAACCAGCGTCTAGACAGAGAGGAGACAGGAAAGATCACACACGTGTGGTTATTCTGAGCAGGGGATGTCTGGAGAAGTGCACCGCTTTGCTTTCATGACTGAGTGTCTGAGGTATCTACTGAAAACTCGGAACACACATCTTAAAGTCACAGGTTAGGGAGAGAGACTTCCTGTTTTGGTTCATTTTATTCATAATTTTATATTTTAACAAAAGGCTTTATTTTTTCCTGCTAAGAGCATATGATAACTATTTTTAAAGTTCAAATGTATAGTTTTATTTTTGAGGTACTCAAAATAATTAAAATCTATTTCCTCAAGAATCAACATTTATGATATAGAAAACTAACACTGTGAATAAAATGTCCATTTATAAAAGTAAAACATTAAGTAATGGTAATTTATTTTCAAACTTCAGAAATTCAGCAAATGTTCGATTTGATCAGCAAAACAAGAGACTATCACTTTGAACTGTATCAAAGAGGAGATGATCACAAACTATTTCAAAATACTTATCAGGAAAATAATGTCATCACATATAATCCCTCTACTGTCTATATGTCTCTCCTCATTACTGTAAAGTTATTAAGAAAGCAATTGTTCACAATGTTCTTTAGAAAAAAGCTAGGCAATGTAAGCCATGTCCACTACTTCTAATTCATTAAAGTAATAAAAGGAACAAAAGACATAAAAAAAATCACAGTCAAAAGCCATTCATAAAGAAGCAAAACTTCTCACCAAGCACGAAAAGTGAACAGTATCTGAGCGGTTATTTTTAAATTAGTTTCATATGAGATGATTTTTAAAATTAGTTATTAATCTATTAGCAGACAGAGATTCTACCTTTTCATTGATACTAATAAAAATTACTAGAAATTGTATTTAGGTGTTTTGATTTTCTATTTTCAAATTTTTGGTCATTTCTCCAAAGCTGAGGAGACCAGAAGACACCTTGGCTGTTTTTCAGCCTTGTACAGGGGGTAGGTTTTCTTGCCACGTGAAGACATAACAAACCTTTTTCATTGAATAAGAGTTTTGTTAAATAAGCATCTAAACAAAACAAGGTGGGGTGACACTGAACACAAATCAACAGAGCAGAAAAGGGAGAACTTCCGGGGTCTTGTGCGGGGCCAGGCAGGGTTAGAGACGTTAGAGGAAAGTCCTACAAACAGACCAGACGGTGCAGCCTGCCACGCGGATGACATGCAATGGAAACAATCTCCCGACCTGATTAAAGTCTTGTTCTTAAAGCTCACTTGAGGAAGGTGAACAACACCAATAATAACGTCCAGACTGGATGTCATAGGAGTCCTCTTACACAGTTTGGGGAAAACTAATTTTATTCAACAATGGGAAGACATCCACATAACCATGTAAACTTTTCATGCTTCTGAAGGCCAAAAATTATTTTTCTTTTGACTTTGTCCATTTTATGGCAGTGTTCCCTAAAAATCATCATCATCATCATCATCATCATCATCATCATCCAGATAAAACTGTCTCTGTTCCACCAGGAACTATCGCTTCAACTATCCTTGTGGAATGTATGCATTTTGAAGTTCAGTTTCCCTGACATTTATGTGCTTCTGGGTAACATTCTTATATCATTATGTTTTGTAACATACTTAGAAAAGACAACACAAAGTTCTCTTCATTTGTGACCTCCTTAAAGAAAACATATCCTAGGTAGAGAGGAATGAATTGCAAAGATGTGTCTGTCTGACACAATCTTCCTTCTACCACCACTAAAAACATACATCTGACATCAGCCAGCACTCTAGCTGGGTAGCTAAGGGCGTTCAGTTGATGAGATATACATATAATGCGGGTGTCCAGACAGAGTAGGCATGTTCTCTGGTGTGTATGCACATGCATACACATGCATGCGGAGTCCAGAGGACAACTCTGGGGAACTACCTGACTTCTTTGAGACAGTCTCTCATGTTCACAAACTGGGCTATACTCGCTGGCCATCAAGCCCTGGGGTCTATCGCTCTCCCTCTTCAGTGCTGGGATTATGAGCACAGGCCAAATGTGGCATTTGCACATGGGTTGTAGGAGATCAAACTCAGGGCCTCAAATTTGCAAGGCAAACATTTTACTGACTGAGCTCTCTCTTCAACCCCTGGAATAGAGGTTCCTATAAAATAATCCTAGTGACTCTTAATATTTCCAACAAAGAGAAAGTGTGGTAAAAAGCTCGTAGCCTATGAATTACTTACACACACAAATACTTAGCACTTGAAGCACTCAGTACAAGAAATTTTAAAGTGCTACAAAAACTGCAACGAGATCTAAGAGACAAGTTTTGGAAATCACTGTGCTGACACAGTACATAGTCTACAAAACTAAAAAGTCAAGCACACATGTAGACAGTTTCTAATTCCCTATGTAAGAAAGTAAGACACACTGCATCTATCTCAAACTGAAGTAACTTAGTATAACTTAGACCAACATGTTATGTTTATTTTTAAATAAATTAAATACTATTACCTACCAAGGAAAACTTCTAGGTGACAAAATTTGGGTCAAAAGGAAAAAAATATACTTGTAAAAATCAAATATATTTTACCATATGTGATCTTAATATCAAAAATATTGGTAAAAGTCACAGTTCTAAATTTGAAGAAGCTTTATAACTAAAATGATATAAATCATGGGTTAATATACACACTCTGGTGCTAGATAAACATGGAATACAATGTGATGCCTAATGATGTACTGTTTTATTTTCAACATTTGCTGTTTTCACAGAAGAAAGTGATAAAACAAAGAAAACCTAGGCCATGACAACAAACTCTTTCAACAGAATCAGTGGCTACCTCAGGACGCATCACAGTTTGCTACTTTATGTCCCTCATAAGAAACAGAAGCCATCAGGAGCTCCAGCCACTTGGTCTGTATCCATGTGGCTAACTGTAAGCACATCAACTGTCTGTCCCCAGTTCAAACCCACTGAGGACATGGGCAATTAAAAGGTGTAATTCTCTTCCTCAAGTAAATGCTCATATTTTCTTTCTAATTTAGAGCATGGAGAGATAGTTTTATCCATTGCAAGTAATCCAGCTGAACACGGGTTAAATAGGCACTTTCTCGTGCTTACAAAAGAGACTGGGTAAGAAGAGGAAGGCCAGGAAGCTATTTGGTACCTGATGTGATCGGGCTTTTTCCTGTCATGTGAAAAAATGGGGCAGGGTTAAAACAAAAGGGAAAGGTGTAAAAGAAAGAAAATGCAAATGTGCAAATAAGCAAAGGACCGGCATGATACAAAACTAAGACAAAAATTAAAGAAACAAGCTTAGCTAATAATCTAACAATGCAGTCAAAAGTGTTCATGTGTTTGATTTACGTATTATAGATATATGCAATTTGTAGTGTTTCAATTCTAAAGAAATGGAAATGCTTTGAAAATATTTGAATTATTATATTACTATTACCTTACACATCTATTATGGTTTTCTACCTCTATGGTCATAACTAGAAAATACAGATAGTATTGTGCCACACATCAATAAGCTGTGCCTAGAAAGTAAGAGGAAAACCACTACATGTTTATCGATAGAAGCCTTAAGCAAACACAAACTTTTTAGAAGGAAAGCAGGGTTACCAATTAAGAATTTCAAAGATCATAAAATGCTGACTGAATAAACCCCCTACCTGCCCACACCCATGTTCATCACATGATAACAAAGACTCTAAGGCCACAGATCAATATGATTCTTTCATTGGTTTCAGGGAAGGGTGGGGAGTAGAATGATGGAGACAGGCCGGGCTATGCAGTCCAGGCTAACCTTGCACCCGCAGTCCTCCGGCCTCCTCCATCTCAGGAGCTGGGACCACTCAGATTTAGTGCTTCTCATTCTTCTCATTCTTAACTGCATCGGCACTAAACTTTAAGCTTTAAACTTTGTATAATACGTTTTATGCACTGAGTTGTGTTTTCTGGTCCAACAAAGGAGTCTGCTTCTTTATTAGCCTTTCTACCTTAGTGCTAAATTATGTTTAAATTATTTTCCTTGTTATTCTTTTCCAAATTCATTATGAAAAGCAAAAAAAGAAACACAGGTTCCAGTGTTTAAAATCTGAATTGGCACTGCCATACCGGAAAAAATAACTTGATAAGAAAGTGCAGTGTGCCAGACTTTGTGGCTCCTGCCTTTAATCCCAGCAGGCAGAGGCAGGAGGATTCCTGAGTGTAAGGCCAGCCTGGTATCCTGGTCTGGAGTGAATTCCAGCCCCATCTCGAAATTCCTCACTGTGGCAGACTTTAATGCACCCCCAGAAAAATAACTTGGTTCTAGGACCCAGTCACACATCCAAATCTGGAGATGCTCAAGTTCTTGAAGATAAAATGCATGGAGAGACTGCGTGTGTGTGTGTGTGTGTGTGTGTGTGTGTGTGTGCGCGCGTGCGCGTGCGTGTGTGTGCGTGTGTGTGCGTGTGTGTGCGTGTGTGTGCGTGTGTGTGCCTGTGTAACAGAAAGACTCTCTCCATGCTGCCCTCTTCTGGGCTCAGGTGCTTTTCCCACCTGGGCCTCCTGAATTAACTGAGACAATAAGCCTACATCACTTACAATTGCTATCATAATGTAAATACTAATTAAAATAGTATCGTTGCATTGTTTAAATAATCATTACAAGAAAAAAATCTCTATATGTTAAGTACAGAGATGTTTAATCCCAAAATTCTGATTCTCAGTTGGATGAGTCCATAGTGTAAGATCACACAGAGCGCTAACACTGGAATACCCTTCTACGCTGAGATGCCACAGAGGCACAGAGGAGGGGGATTGAGCAGGGACAAGACTGGCAATGCAAAGGGTCAAGAACTTTCCGTTCTCATGCTAGCTGCTCTCACACGCAAAACAAGAGCGTCTCACTACACTATATAATAATAGATGCTGCTTTTCAAGTACAACTGTAGGTTATGAAGCGTGAGGGAGGTTGGTTTTTTGTTGTTGGTTTTTTTTTTTTTTGACTATTTAGGAATTCCTAATCACATATTCCTCAGGATGGAGATCTTTAATAGTTGACATTAAAAATATGATATAACATCATAAAGTTATAGATAAGATCAAAGGAACCATGATATGACTGTGCCTTAGGGTAGCTACAAAAAAAGAAAACTTTCCTTGAAACCAATCAAACAGTATCTTTGAAAAATACTTAAGTTGTGAGTGAAAAAGCTCAATATCTGCAGAGGCAGCTCCTAAGACACTTTTAATGTTAAGGAATATAAAGTCTTACTCAGAGCAGTAGAATGTACTGCAATGAACGAAGAGGAAAAACTAGGGAAAACACCAAACCAAGCATGGACAAAAGAAAATTATTGGCATTTTCCAAGATTAGATTTTTTTTTTGAAAAGCCTCACTTAAGAAATGCAAATGCATTTGCAATCTTTAACGTTAATAATACCACAGGAAAGCTCTCACTAATAAACAATTACTGCTCGCCCTTCTGCCATTTACAGAATTCCCTTCTGCTGTATTTGCATACGACCTGTCCCCCAAAGGTTTTGTGCTAGATATGGCTCACAGTGTGGTACCACGAAGGGTGGTGGGACCCTTCGGAGGCGGGCCTTATGCTGGGTGACTACATCATTGAGGACACGGCCCGTGAAAGGCGCCATTGTCCTACAGTAAGTCTGTCGAATGACACCGGTCATTTAAAACAGAGAAGAGACCCTTTCCTAATCTTCGGCTTCCTATCTCACGATCTCAGCCATACAGCTCTTCTACTGAAACAAAGACCCTCAGCGCAGGTTCCCTCAATGGAGTCTTCCAATCTGTAATTTCAAGACTACAAAATGAGGAGAAAAATAAATCCCTCTTCATTTTAGTCATCTCCTTGCTGAAAATGAAGTTGACTATAGTCAGTGACTCTAAGGGTCACAGGCAGCACCTCTGAGCAGCAGCCTCCTTCCTGAGGGGACGCCTTTCACCCTGCAGACCCTGGCACACCTACAGCAGGGATTTGCAGTTGGATTTATAGCTTTTCTCTACTTGATCTTGCCTTTGCTTTAGTATCCGTGCCAGTTAATATGGCTCCTAAGACAAATAATACAAAATCGTAAGGTCCTCATCTGATCTGCTATTGATGTTATTCTGGTGCTCTGAACAGCGATGGAATTCTCCACTAAGAAAGACTCACTGTGCTTCAGTATGGAGTCTGAGAGCACATCTCACTGAAGGGTCCAAGGAAATGTATTTCTTTTCTTAATATAATGGTTACGTCCCTAGGGATTTATTGTATTTTCATTTTCTTAAGCTTTAAGGAGGTGCTTTGTACTCTGAAGGTTAAAGTTCAACTCTAACCTTATACTATAAACCTATATTGGATAAATAATCTTAAAGAACCTACCACACACTAGCCGTTTCCAGCTTCCTATGCTAACTACAGAATTTGTCAGGAAGGACTTAAAAATGACAATTGTTTTACATTGTAGCTCATGAAACACAATTTTAAGTTTTCATTTTTACAGTATAATAACTGAAGCATTACTGATAACCTCATTGCTACATCTGCTCCTTTAGTACCTATGTCTCATTTAAAAGTTCTACATAACTCAGAGGCTTAATGATAAATATCATTATTGTTTTCAGAGTATAGCAACTCTCACATAAAGATAAAATATTTCAAATAAAACCATTTAGATTTTCTACAATATCAAATACTAGAGAAATGCTCAATAAGCCACTGACATTTAGAAATGTTACTGGATGTTTCTGAACTTAAATACCAAGAAACCTAAACAGGAACAATCAGACCCATTTCAGTACAGCACTGAGACGCCCATTTGAGTGAAACAGGCACCAAATGAACTTACTGAGAAGACCCTCCTGACGCTGGTAATGGCCGTCTTAAGAACAGCCTTTTCTATTACTCTTCATTACTACGAAATTATCCTTTTTTTAAAAAATTTATTTAAAAACAAAAAAGAAAAAAAGGCATCCTTGAGCAACAGATCAATCACAAACGTTCAGAAGGACGATCCTGCACCAAGCAACCTTTCAATGCTATTTGATATGAAATTATTTTACTTATCATATTAATACAGTAAAATATTTTAAATATTCTTCTTTGTTTTATTTTGCAATTTTAGATACAAAATCTTATTATGCAGCCCAGGCTGGCCATGAACTCAAAATACTCCTGCCTTTACCGCCTGAAAGGATTACAGGTGTCCCCATGACACCTGGTTATAATTCCATTCTTGTAAGACACCTAATGGTTTTGTATTTTATAAAAATTAATTCAGCAAAAATTTAAACCTTTTACTAGCTATCACATTTATAATAATGGAATAATGGTTACCGTGATTTACCATGTTCTACGTTAAGTGGTATTAAAAAGGCCAAAAGCCAAATGGTCAGGGCCATCTGGGCTTGAGACTCACAAGGTTTTTCTTCCTTCCTTCCTTCCTCCCTTCCTTTTCTTTCTTTCCTTCTTTCTTTCTTCCTTCCTTCCTTCCTTTGTCTCTCTCCCTCCCTCCCTCCTTCTCTCTTTCTCTCTCTCTCTCTTTCTTTCTTTCTTTCTTTCTGTTTTTTTTTTTTTTTGCTTGCTTGCTTGTTTTGTTTTTTTAAAACAGGGTTTCTCTGTATAGCCCTGGCTGTCCTGGAACTCACAAGGACCCACCTGTCTGCCTGGGAGGTAAGCACTGCTGCCACCCCACCGTGACCTGGCCAAAAGTAAATTCTTAATAAAAAATATAATTCTTAATAAAAGATAAGTGAGAGTTTAGTCATTATAGCCCAAGTATTAGAAGAAGTAGTTTTCTCCTTTAAGCCTTGAGTTTCAAACCTAAAGATTTGTGTTTTCGTTTTTCACCTGATCATTTGGTAGAGTTTAGATAGCTCTGGAGGGAAAAAAGTTGGTAATTACTGGGAAAGCCCAAAAGTGGCAAACAAGTTGACTAATCAAGACTAATGTTGGAAATCCATTACCTGTTCCACGTTTTGAAGGCGTTGCTGGCTCGCTTGAACAGATACCCTTCCATGACAATGCCATTCGCCGCATCTACATTATACTCTAGCTTGGAATCGTCACTGGAGAAATCCTAGACAGAATAACACACACAGGAGTTCAGATAACTGTGTTCCCAGAAAGAGCAATGTATCCAGGGAAAAGAGCTTTTAGAAACATTTGGAGTAAGACTTCCATAAGAAAGGGGGAAGGACATGATAGTGGAGATATGCCTCAGCACGCTGACAGCTCTGGCTCTCCAGGAAAACGCTAAAGTGATGACAGAGACACAACTATGTAAGACATGGCGCAGGAGACAGACTGTAAGGAAAGACACACACGCACACAGAGATGCAAAGAAAAGGACTAAGACTGCAGGAGCATTACTACTGCCCCTGAGCAGAGAACTCGGATCTGACACATAGCAGCGTTCCTTCCATCTGTAAGCACCTGATGATACTGGATGTAGCGCTGCTGCTGGAATCTGTGAGCATAGTCATGATCTGTCTGTCAATTAGGAAGGGACACTTGAAGGACACTGAAGAAAAAGAAAACTGGAAGTCAGAAGGACAACAGAACCAGGGCATCTGCCGCTCAGGAGAACCTGTGCTTTCCTGCAGAGTCCAGAACACAAACCGTTCAGCTAAGCATGGTGAGCGGAGGAACTAAGGAAAGGCCCCACTGAAACTGCAAGTGAGACCAGAACCGTTATCACCACCACCATTCAAGACTGTTGTAAAGTCCCAGTCAACTAGATAATCTAAAAAGGAAAAAGCACACTGCCCTGTTATTTATGGAGAGGACTCTACACAGAATTCAGAAAGAAACACTATCAAGAACATTAGCAAAGTTGTCAGGATAAAATCAAGATGAGAACAGTCTTACCGTAACGCAACAGAGACACTGATTTCTAAAGGCAGCACTACAGGGCCATTTGCCGTGTAAGTGTCCAGGAATAAACCCAACAATAGCCATGTAAGAAAATCACAAACGTTTATGCAGAGCATTAAAGAAACTTTAAACAGCAGGTCAGATAAGACTGTGATGTACACAGTATTATAAACCAAGCACACCTGCTTTCTCACAGTTCCAGCACAACCTCCAAATTAAAAAAACTTAATTACTATTGTGTGTATCTGAGGGGAGGACTAACAAACTCCATGGTACTCACTGAGGTCCAAGGATACGTTTGTTCTGGAGACTGAACCAGGCTGCCAGGTTTGTGTGGCAAGCACTTTACCTACTCAAAGTCCCCACAAAAGCTCCTCTTATAGAACAAACTTGCTCCTGAGGTTTGGGTGTCTACAAAACTCAGTCTATAAAAGGAGGAAGAAAAGAGACGGAAGCTCCGCTTCCCAGGCGTGTGAAGCTGTAAAGCTGGGAACAATTAAGACAACAATGTGTTGGGATGATTAAGGCAAGATGACAGTGGGCTGAAGAGACAGCCGGAAAGAGCCTGTGATAGAAGGTGTCCCACAGCATCAGGGGAGGAGTTGTATTAAAGATCAACACGATATTGACATAAGGAAGGCAGATCTCTACCCACTACACACAAGAACACAGTTACGCATGAAGTAAAGAGCTAGACGTAAAGGCTGGGGGTACAGAAGGCTGGGGGTACAGAAGGCTGGGGGTACAGCTCAGTGGCAAGTGCCTGCTGTCAGACAATGACGCCTGGGCTCAGTCTCCAGCAAAAACATAAACGTGAAAAGCAAGCTACACGGGAGAGATAGCCATGATCTTGGGAACTGCTGAGCAAGCAACAAAAGCACCAGACACAGGGCCGGAAACCATGACAATCTAAACCACATTTATATGCGGTATATGAAGAACCTGATCGTCCATTAGGGAGCCTGGCACTAAGAAGGAAGAAAAGCAAACAGACACTTCACAAACAGGGAACAAGTCACTAGTCACTAATGGTGCGTCATTTAAACCGGTGAGATGTCAGTGTCCACAGTCGACAGTGAGGACGGTGAGGACCCTCGGTGCTCCCCACCGGCATCCTCGCCATGCCGAGCACACTCTGGTACCGCAGCATGACTCCAGTAAGTCATGCATCCATCCAAAGATGTGCGAAGACACAGGCAGGACATTCAGGGGCGTCACAACAGCACTGTTTCTCACACTGATCAGTGTAATTGTTAAAACACCTTAAAACGGATATCAGAAAGGCTTTCCTTAAATTTTAGTTGACTAGATTTTTTTTCTTTTTTTTTTTTTTACCTGTAATGCAGCCTGTGTCAGCATTTAGGGGCAGAGAAAGTATTCAGAATGAGTGAAAAAAAAAGCATTATTTTCTTAAAGAAAAAGTTGTGTATTGTTTAAAGTCAAATAATCTCAGATTTGATAATTTAGCAGTTTGAGGCCTTCACTGTAATACTGAACTATGTATATAATGAAGACAGAGATTCAATATATATATATATATGTATGTATATATATTCAACAAACAATCACATATTTCTATAAACATAATTTTTCATTTTACTAAAAAATTATTGATTCCACTTCTAACAATCATTTGATAGTAATGCCATTAAAACAAGCTAGTCATCAAAATACCATGCTGTACACCATAAACACAAAGAACCAGGCAAAGAAGTCACAGCTGTAACCCCAGAACTCAGGAGGCTGGGGCAGACAGATCAGGAGTTCAAGGCCTGTTTGAGACACAAAGAAAGACTCTTGGGAAGAGAGAGGGACAGCAGGAGAAAGAGAGCAAGTCATGAAGACCTGAAGCTGGGATGGTAACACACGCCTATAATCCCAGGCACACAGCAGGCAGGAGTAGAAGGGCCATGCGCTTGAAGCTAGGCTGGGCAATATAGAAAGATCATGTCTTTGTTTGAAACAGGGTCTCTCTGTGTAGTCCTGGATGTCCTGGAACTCCCTCTCTAGACTCAGGCTGGCCTGGAACTCAGAAATCTGCCTGCCTCTGCCTCCTGAACGCTGGGATTAAAGGCATGTGCCACCACCACCCGGTTTGAAAGATCGCATCTTTAAACAAAAGAAAACATGCCACTGGCTTCATCCTATGACAACTAAAAGTAACTGATTAATGACGACTTCAGAAAAAACTCTTTCCTTTTCTGAATGTCATTTATTTCTCTTTGAGCATGAATAACCCATTAATTATGTTTTGCTTACACTTGCAACTGATTTTGCTTTCATGTTTTTCCATTCACATCTTCTATGTCAGATCCAATCTGAGCAATCTGTCATCAAAGATGCCTGGATTCCTTATTATCAAAAGGGCAGATTTCTCACAGCATGCAGGAGTTTTATATAGTATTCAATCCCTAATTTGCCTTGTATGCTCGATTATAGCACAAATACATCTCAGTCTATCTAAGATAAAGTACTATTAGGCTATGCTCCAAACATGACAAGCTCAATTCCTACATGAAGAGATAAATATAAATTCACTAGTGAATTCTCATTTTAAAAACATTTGTCAAAAAAATAGTTTAACTAGGCTTAGTCAATTCAACAAACAACGAGGGTTCAGAAGAAGGTGCTAAGCAGCTCTGGGGTGACGGGGGGGGGGGGCGGTGGGGGAGGGAGGGGGAGAGGGAGGGAGAGGGAGGGGGAGGGAGAGGGAAAAGGGGAGAGGGAGAGGGAGGAAGAAGGGGAGAGGAAGGAAGAGGGAGAGGGGGAGGGAAAGAGGGAGGGGGAGAGGAAGGAGGAGGGAGAGGGGAAGGGGGAGGGAGGGGGAGAGGGAGGGAGAGGGAGAGGGGAAGGGGAGGGGGAGAGGGAGGGGGAGAGGGAGAAAGGGGGAGAGGGAGAGAGAGAGAGATGGGGGAAGAGAGACAGGAAGGAGGAGAAGGGATATGCACACATTCTCTGTATGTCTCTGTCTCTCTCTTGCTCACTCACATGCACACACACATGCGCACACAACACACACACGCACACACACTTTGGCAGGAGGCTGTTAGTATCCTAAATGAAACCATGAATAATACTGAAAATTTTAACAAGGGGCAACCTTTAGTTAATCTCCTGACAGGTTAAGAATATTTATAAACTGGTTCAAGACCTCAGCCTGCAACTGTTCTGATCCGAAGAGATAACGAAATGGACATGTTACCATCTAAAACGCTTCACCTTTCACAAGAAGGATTTACTGGAATGAGCAACGGAAGGGTTCTGAGTAACACGGCTAGCCTGCACACTAACGTCCCAGGGAAGGGAAACTGTTCTAACGCTCTTGCTCGTGTACCTTCTGCTGGATCGTAGAGTGTTTTTGCTCCATCTCTCTTTTCTCCTTTGCTGCATCCACAACCAGTCGATCCAACTGAAGGAAAGAAGAAAATTGTAGACTTAAAATTTAAAGAAACAAGGGATTTTTAAAAAAATCATATTCCAAGTCATATTATACATAAGCATGAATCACATGATTAAAGTTAACCTAAAACAGCATTTTTGGCTAAACATTCAAGTAGAAGTTCACAGTTTTGTAGTATTAAATCTTTTTTGAGACAGCCTGTATCTTAGGGGAAAAGACTTCCAAGCAGGGGGCCTTATCTTGAGCACTGCATCCTCCAAGGACAAGACTTGAACCTACAGTGCCTGATGTTACAGCAGAAAGCTGTAGACAAAGTAAAAACAAAACAAGCACACATATAAAAACATGACTTTTTTATCCCCTTCTCAACAATACCAAAAGGCAGTGCAGCTAAACTAAATAGAGCAAAAGTCATACGTGCACATCACCAGCTGCATCCATCACCAGCCACACACCATGTTTCCAACTTGTCTTCCTCATGTGATAATCAAATCTAAAAGGAAGGACTGGAGAGATGGCTCAGTGGTTAAGAGCACTGACTGCTCTTCCAGAGGTTCTGAGTTCAATTCCCAGCAACCACATGGTGGCTCACAACCATCTGAAATGGGATCTGATGCCAAATAAATAAATGACAGCTTAAAGGGGTGAGGTAGGAGCAGTAGTGAGCCCAGGAATTAAGACCAGACTGGTCAACACAGTAAGGCCCTGCCTCTGAAAGGTTAAATTAAGTAAAATAATAAAAGAATATTTAAAAAAAGAATATTAATCCCATAGTTCTGGAGTTATTACCTACTAACTCAGCTACTACAAGATCATCCTAACTAGCCACATCTCAACAGAGCACCACAGAAAGTAAAGGGTGGCCTGAACACAGAAGGGGCTGACTTCCCAGCAGGCTGAACCACAAGTCTTAGCTGCTTGTTTCTACATCATCTTGCCCCTCTCCAGGGGTATAAAAGCTTAGCTTGTCTGGTTATCTACTTTCTCTTCTTCCCTGACACTGTGAAACACCCCACACCTAATTCAACCAGATCACTCTGTGACATCAAACCTGTCATCCCCAGGTTTCCTAGCAATGAGTAACTAAGCACAGGATGTACAGTTTCTAGGAACTGTCCTGCATCAGACAAGATGTGCCTTTCTCTTCCCTTCCCTCCCTCTGATAGCTGGGATTTGGGAATGACAGCTAAGGTGGACAAGTCACTTTAAACCATGAGGCTAACTTGAAAGACACAATAAGCCTAGGCATGTGATACAAGGGCCATGAGACTGTGCTTCTGACCTTACATAAAAGACCTTACTGTCCCCCACACACTTTGATCATCAGATGGTATTCCCATTCCATTCTTACCTTTCCTCCATTTCCCTAAATTCTATTTTTTCTTTATCCTTCACCTCAAAAAAATATACTGGGAAAGCAAAACTTACAGATTAATCCTATTGTGTCTCAAGTAAGGTGGTTCAACGCTCAACAAAAAATACTGTCTGAGGGACTCAGACCACATTATGGTAAGGCACAAGCACAACATGTACAAGGCCCTGGGTTTGAGCCACAGAAAGAAAGAAAGAAAGAAAGAAAGAAAGAAAGAAAGAAAGAAAGAAAGGTAGGAAGGAAGGAAGGAAGGAAGGAAGGAAGGAAGGAAGGAAGGAAGGAGGGAGGAAGAGGGAGGGAGGGAGGGAGGGAAGAAAAAAGAAAAAGAAGTCTTTGTGAAATAATAATGAATACCAAATGGTCTTGGAAGCTCTAGGGTCTTAAGACATTAGACTTTCATTACCCAAGTAGTCAATATAAATTTTTTGAAAATGAAAAAGAGCAAAGTCTTAAATAAAAGAGGACAGTGACTCCATTATTCAAGTAAAGGAATAAATTCTGCTATTTGTACTAAAAAAAGCAGACACACGTATCTCAGCCTGTCTCAGCCCCCCCCCACCCCCATCCCACTGCCAGGATCACAGATGTGTACCACACCTGACAGAGTTGTTTAAGCCTCTTTTCAGTACCCTCGTGTTTAGTACTTAAGACAAGCACTTTTACCTTTAAGTTCATTTTTGGTTTAACATCCAACCCACATGTAAATGTGCTTCAGTGTCAGAGTCCTTATTGGTAAGTAAGAAGCCCAGTTTCCCAGTGTGCTAAGTATCTTTGAAAACATAAACGTCAACCAACAGCACAGAACCAACAGATCCAGTTCAAAAGATTACCTGTGCTCCAAGATCTTTCATGTAGGGCCCAAGCTCACTGAACAGGTCATACCCTTGATGGAAGAAGGCCAGATGTGCGTACATGAAGGACAGCATCTAGGGGAGAGAGGGGTTTCAGATCCACTCCAAGAAGCTTCAGAAAAGGAAGCCTGGGTCCACACAGTATTAAAGACCACTCCACAAGAACCCAAAGCATCAAACCTACTTAAAACTGAGTTTCTTGAAGACTTCACAAATATTTGTAAATGCAAAGAGAATACAATGTCTCTAAGAGTAGTAGTCTGACATTTTAGCAACTGTAGCTGTTTAGACCTAAATAAAATTACATAGGTAACTTATACACTATTCTCAGTAGCATCGCTATCTTACTAGAAATCCTTAAGCACATTATGAAATGTCTATGTGGTCCTTGGAGTATCCTTCCTAAGTAAAAATGAAGTGAAAAGAAAAAACTTCAGAGTCCTCAGGTGCCAGTGAGCTGCAGAGACCCTCAGTTGTTCATTTTCTTAAAAACCATAAACCAATGGAGTCAACATAGACTTTTTTAAAAAAAAAACCATTTATTTGCTTGTTTGCGTGTTGTGTGTACACATATTCACAGATGCCTGGGGACTGTGGAGGTCAGAGGGCAGCCTGCAGGAAGGAGTCAGTTCTCTGCCACTGGACTCAGGACACCAGGCTCCGCAGCCAGTGTCTTCATCTGCTGAGCCACCTTGGTGGCCCTGGAAATGTCCTTATATTTATTCCACAGATCCAAAATTGACATTAAGGATTGGGGAGGGGGTCCCCAGCTATATTTTGTTAATCCACAAAAGAAAAGCCACCCTTGCTTTTATTAGTTAATTTTACATGAGAAGGAATTATATAATTAAATGTATACAAAGAATCTCTTAAGACCTGTTTTATTTTTAGTAAGAACAGACATCTGTCTAATTTTCCGAAAACTAAAAGTAGGCTATAAGGTTGTTAACACTAAAGAATCCTCTAAAAAATGGTTTTCAAAATAAAAATCAGTTAAATAAAATTCAAAGATTAATGATAAAAACTCAACTCATATAAAAATTACTACAGTGTTAGAAAATGGTAATAATAGTTATACAACTGTGGGAAAAGATTTTTTAAAACCACTGAATTATAAAAAGGAAGAATTAATGATTATATAAAGATGTAAAACATATGTATACATCAAAATACATACTAAGCATATCAAGGAAGAAATGATAAGCCAGGAAACACAGTAAAGGATCAGCGATCTGAATCCCCAAAGTTGCCACAAATCACTACAAGAAATGAAGGTTTCCTAAGTAGCCAGGAAAATGTATGAAAAAAAAACGATCAAACGCTTTACTAACAAAACGCAAATTCAACAAGGAAATCTCATTTTCTGCCTGTCACACACTGGGCAAGGTGAGGAGGCAGAGCTCTAGCACTCACAGCTGTAAAGTCAGTAGAGAGATGGCTATCTCACAAACTGTCGGCGAAAACAGTTGATAAGCCTTGAAATTGGTAGTATTTTTAAAAAGCCTTCTTTCTCCACATTTGAAAACTTTGACTGGAGATGGCCACTGATCCTGACACACTGAGTTCAAGCCCCTGCCCCCCACAGTGGAAAAGAGAACCTACTTCCACAAATTGTCCTCTGACCCCCACATGGCCACCACAGGGGATACGCCTAAAAAAATAAGTAAACAAATAAATACAATACCTCTTTATTTAAGTAATCTCTTGTTTATAAACGCAAATAAAGCAATAATCAGGTTTTTATTAGGATGATCACTACGATGAGATGCTTTTAATGTAAAAAGCATGAAGAATTGCTTAAATATCCATTAAGGATGATAAACTGTAGTATACTCAAGGCTAGCTAATTTGGATCTACAAATTTTACATCTGTTTGTAGATGGCTCATAAGCCAAGAATTGCCTTTATCCTTTTAGAGGATGAAATAAAAAAATTAAAACATAAACATTAATTTGAAAATTATATGGAATTTAAACTTCTGTGCTCACACATCAAGTTTTACTGAACCCAGCCAAGCCCAATTATCTGCTTATGCACAGGCAGGTCCTCAGTATGGGCAGGTAGGTCCTCAGTATGGGCAGGCAGGTCCTCAGTACAGGGACAAGGTGAGCGAAGACAGAGGCCACAGGGCTACAGACCTCACTGTGTTTACCAGCTGGCCCTTTATTTCCTGTTTATTCAAGTGGCAGAGTTCCAGCTGCCCACAGAGGCCATGGTAGGACATACTGTCTTCATCACTGGCTGCCTGGAAAACACGGCTGGGGGAGAGGTGACACCTGGTATAAAGCAAGTGCTAGGCACCACAGAGTCAGGCACAGCATTAGGCCAGAGCAAGGTGGACACAAGGCCTAAGCAGCAAGAACAGCAACTGGAAAGGAAACTGTTCCAGCTTAACTAAGAGAAATCCTCCCGAAGGTTCTAAATGAGAAAGAGCACTGTCACAGCACACCCTCCTCATTTCCTTGTCAAAGAGCAAGTAAAATCTCATTGTCCCTCAGATTACAAAGGCCCAGAGAGGGGGCTGGAGAGATGGCTCAGCAGTTAAGAGCACTGGCTGTTCTTCTAGAGGACCGAGTTCCATTTCCAACATCCATAAGGCAGTGCACAACTGTCTAACTCCTGATCCAGGGGCTCAGACTCACACATGCAGGCAAAACACCAATATTCATGAAATAAAAAATAAAAAGCACATGAGTTGAATCTTAAAAAAAAAAATCCAAAGAAAAAAGGGACGAACCCAGCAATCTTACATTTTTTTGTGACTACAAAGAAAGAGAAGGCCAAAACCTAAGTCGGGGGGCCTCTTCAAGCCACAGGACTGACACAAGTCTTCAAGCTCAAACATTCTAAATGCCTAACCACCACATACAACCATAGAGAAACATGTAACTTTGAAAGACACGTTGTAGACAATTTCTAAAAGCCAGGGCTAGAGACATGGCTCAGCAGTTAAGAGCAACTTTGCAGAGGACTTGGGTTCAGTTCTCAGCACCCACATGGCAGCTCACAACAGTCCGACAGCAACTTCCGTTCCAGGGGATCTGACGCCCTCTTCTGGCATACATGTAGTACATATGCATGTGCGCAAAACACTCATATATATAAAATAAATAAGTCTAAAATAAAAATGAAAAGAAAGCTTGGGGCCAGACAGATGGCTTAGTGGTTAAAAGCATCACTGCTCATCTGAAGGTCCTGAGTTCAATTCCCAGCACCCACATGGCAGCTCACAACTGTCTAATGCCATCTTCTGGTGTGCAAATGTACATGCAAACAAAGTACTCATATACATTAAATAAATAAATAAATCTGTAAAGAAGAAACTCTCTAAAAGCAAATGCAATTAAAGAGAAAAGTCAAGGTGGCAATCATATTTAATAAGTTTCAAAACAATCCTGAAATAATCTCACTGGTTCCAGCCATCACTTCTAGCTACTTTCAAAAAGTGTTAGGTATCTAGACCACATGAACTATTACATTGGAATAACAGAGTGGAGAGCACACAGTAGGTCTGCCTTTGTGAAGCAGCCATAGGTTAGCAGAGCAGACACAGGAACAGCTGTACCTTGAAGCAGATGGCCCAGGAAAGAGAAATGGGAGCTAAGAGCCAGAGCTCCTGGACAGGGTGTCACTACGGGGGCCAGACAGACAGACAGACAGGCACAGTTAGCAGCATTCATTAATAACTTACAGATTTCAGGATTTCTGATCTCCTTTTTGATTGAAGCACATTAATCTAAGGGAAGATACACTTGGTTAGTCATTCACGAATTACACTAACGCAGAATATGAGATTCTAAACATGCCTGTCGTAACGATCCCAAAATAAAGCAAGACAGAGCTGGTGTTCTTCTGGCTTAAAGGAGTTCTGACAAGCATACCAATGAGTTCAGCCACACTCGCACTCCGTGAAAACACTGGTCCTTCAGACTACAGCACCCTCATGGAGCTGCTGACACCTGAGTGTGCAACTTAGCCTCTTCCTCCAGCCTCCTCATCTAACTGAACATCAAGGTTCAACCACAGCCTCCATGCAAATCCTCACCACTTACCACTTTCCATCTTCTCTGGACTGCCTGTTTCCCTTCTTGGCTTCCTACAGTCCCTTCTCCACACAGGTGCCAGAGTGATTTTCAAATATAAATGAGATATTATCTCTAGTTTTAAATCTGCAATCTCCTACCATCCCCATACAGGCCCACTGTGCCACCCTCTGTTACTCTGCCCTGAATGTGTTCCCAACAGCACTCATCACTGTCTCACAGGTGCCTTTGTACTGGCTGGTCCGCCTCCAAGTCTGGAGGCTCTGCCCTCATGATTTAGAACTAGTATTCAGTATTCAAGTCTTCAACTGACCATGTCTAACCCAGTGCTGACTCGACTGACTCACTATCTAGCATAACCAATCCTACTTACTGACAGCATATATAATTACTTCTATTTGTTTTTGTTTATTTGTTTGTTTGTTTGTTTAAACAGGGTTTCACCAGGTAGCCTGGGTATCCTAGAACTCACTTTGTAGACCAGGCTACCTCAAACTCGCATGGATGCCCCTGCTTCTGCCTCCCCAGTGCTTACTATGTGTTTTCTTCCTCTGTCTTTTCCCTAGCTAAAGTACAAGGTCTGTGAGATCAGGAGCTTATTCTCAGTCCGGCCCCAGAGCAGAGCAGTGAGCATGCCATATGTCTGTTAAAGTAATGGACTTAAGGATTTTAACTATGATTGATTATGAGGTTTCTCAGGCGTAGGGTTGAAGCTCAGTTGGCAGAATGTTTGCCTACAAGCTCAGAGCCCTGGATTAGATCCCCGGCACTGCCCAAACCAGGAGTCAGGGTCCATGTCTACAATCCCAGCACTTGGGAACAGAGGCAGGAGGATATGGGTTCAAGGTTATCCTTGGCTACACAGTGAGCTGGAGTAGGAAGGAATGCCTTTAACAGGATCTTTTGGAATTGTAGAAATTCCTAACAAGTATTTTCATCTGTTCTTTTAAAAAAAGCTTATTTACTTAAAATGATGATGCAAAAGAAGCTCTTCACGATTTGTTAAGATTGCCAAAAGATTACAGAACATTTTCCAAATGTCTTCTTCCTGAACTCTTGATCTATAAGGGAATTTTAAAACAGTCTTAAAAACAAGAACAGACCAAGAAAAATCTAAATCCAACTCTCTTCCTTATCACTGGTTTCTTTTGCGTGTCTGCTTGAGTCTGCTCAGCTCTGAGGAGCACAGGGAACCCCTCCCTTGCCCCTCCACCTCCCCCCACGCCATGAGGAGCCCAGGCTGTGGGGAGCCACTGCTCAGACTTCAGCCTTCCTTCAGTTTTTTCCCTCTCTATTTAGAAATTTAAAGAAAGTAAAAATTCAAACTCAAGGAGGAGGGTAAATTCAAATACATACAGAAACTGAGATGCTTCACACTTTGGGTGTTTGTTAGCTTTTATTCTCTAAAACAGCCACTTTTGCCAAAAAATAAAATGATCCAAGAATTCCCATGAGAGATATTACATAAAATCATAGTTAGAAGGGAGTAAGCACGGAGACCATCTTAGTACTGTCAGATGACCTCTTAGGAAATACATAATTACTACGTTTAAGTTTGAAAATAATGGCTATTTTAGCTAAACAGCATTACACATAAAATCCATACATTACATCATTCACTCTTTTAAAAAAAAAAATCATGTACTTCCTATTTTCCAACCACCGGATAAAAGCTAGAGACATATTCTATTCTAGGAATATAGGACTCAGACTATGAGTGTGTGACATGCAAGCATGAGGACCTGAGTTCAATACCCAGAACCCCGGTGAAAAAAAGCTAGCATGTTAGCACATGTTTAAAATCTCTGCTCTGGAGAAGGAAAGATCTTGGAGAGCAAAATCCCTGGGGCTTGCCAGTTAGCCAACCTAGCCTACCTCCAGGCATGTGTCAAAAGATAGATAGATAGATAGATAGATAGATAGATAGATAGATAGATAGATAGATAGATAGATAGGCAGGTAGACAGACAGACAGACAGACAGACAGACGGACATCTCCATGGCAAACAAGTTTGCCCTCTTTCTGCCTCCATATGTTCAGTGTGCATACGCATTACAGTAACTTAGAAATAAAGAAACAGAAATGTTCAGTCGGTATGTGCTGGCCTTCTACGCACAACAAGCAGAGTTCAATCCCTAGCACTTACACACAAAAAAATGCCAGGCATGGTAAGAGACAGACATAAGGATCCCAGGCACTTGCTGGACAACCAGGCTGTCCTAGTTGGTGAAGGTGGAGAGCACCCCTGAGGATGACATCTGAGGTGCCCATGCAGCCTAACACACATGCACACAACAAGCTAAGTAACACACTTACAGGAAGTGTGAGTGTGGTGTTTCTAAGAAAGAGACAGCAGAGAGACATGGTGGAGATGATGGTCAGTCTGTCTGCAGACATCTGCATGACTCTGACCAAAGGACAGAAAAGGACCTGGAATTCGGGTCAAGAACAGACAGTGTAGAAAGACGGCTTCATGAGATCACTCAAACGCCTTGGACAGAGGTAAGGACTGGAACAGTGTACGGGAGGACAGAGTTCAGACAGAGGTCAGGAGGGCTTTCCAAGATGTCCTGCTGGCTAAACACAATCACTTAAAATGAGGAGACTATATGAACGGAATTCACATTTAAGCTGCCATAGGAGTGAAGAGACTAGGTCACACAGACAACGGAAAAAAAAATGACACATTTTGAAAAATGTGTCTGTGACACATGACAGTAAGGAATCTCTGTGGAAAACAGGTTCTGTCAAAGAATATGAAGTAATGTCCAAGAATCAGGTATGGAACAGAGCCGAGAACAGCCTATAAGGGAGACTGACATAAGCAAAGGTGGAAATATGAAAAGTTGGGAGGAGTCACAGTGGGAGGAGTCACAGTGGGAGGAGCCACAGTGGGAGGACCCACAGTGGGAGGACCCACAGTGGGTGTCTCCTCAGTGAGACAGAAAGGGAGCACAGAAATACAGAGCCGAGTGAGAGGCGCTCGCAGGAGGGCTGCGGGCTCTCTACAGTGGGAAGGGGCATAAACTGAACGAAGCAGCAGACACAGGAAACAGACTGCACCAGTCTATAAGCCTAAGGACAGAAGGAGCATTACTTCTTTAAAAACAAAACAAACAAACAAACCCTTTTTATTTACTGAACAGGAATGTACTAGAAAAAAAAGACTTCAAATTAACTTTCTACTGTTTCTGCTTACATCATTTTTAATCACTAATATATGCATTTCGTGTGTATTACCATGAAGTCAACAACCCTTGAGGGAACTACTGTTGTTTTATAAAGAAACGTGATTCCCTATACTTAAAACTTCTCAGCTCTGAACTGTACAACACATTAAAAGCGTACTACACATGTGCTTACATTCTGTTATGTCCCAGAGTCCCTTGGAAACCTACATTCTCCAGACCAACTACTGGTGGGACACGATCGTTTGCACATGACTGCAGAGTGAGCGTTAACAGCTGTAGGCGTCCACTACAGTAAATGCTCAGAAGGGTGGCAAACGACGGCCTTACAGGGCCCGCAAGACGGCTCCGCGGGAAAAGGCACTGCATCCACCTACTTCCTGAAATCAATCCCTGGGGCTGACATGGTAAAAGAACAAGTTCCCAAACGCTGTCCTCTGACATCCATACATGCGTGTGCACACGTGTGTGCACACACACACACACACAAAGACCAAGTAAATATTTCTATTACTATTTGCATCTCTTAAAAATCCTACTTTCACTGTTCCTGTAGGTCTACCACCTATGTCTAAGTTATGAGATCCTGTCCCAGCTGCACTTGGCTTCCGAGACTCAGTAGGGACCTTCTAGCAACCACTTCTGTATCCATCCTGCATCTGCGCCTGGACGAGGACCTGGGCCCTAAGAGGACGGTCTAACACGAGTCTCTCCCAGTAGTGTTGGTGGAACCAGTACAGCCCTGCCACTGTGCTTGTCTCCAGCCTCCAAAAGGAGTCATCCCTCCAAGGACTCTGAATTTCATCTTCCAAAGCAACCGATGAACTCCAGAAACTCACTAACTTCGGCAGTTAGTGAAGCAGATGCATTAGGACCAAGCGGAGCACTCGTGTGCTGCTCGCAGGCAAAGCAAAGCAAGAGCCTCACTCAGAAAACTGTTTCTCACAGTGCATTTCCTGAGAAGCTTTGGGTTCATGTATAGAAGCACTAATAAAAGTTTTGAACAACTGACAAAAAGACATACATGATCACTGTTGCAAGTAAAAACTAACACCATTTAAACCTGGTGCTCAGATATCAACCAAACTGAAACAGGAACGCTACAGAATAATAAAATATGGGTAAGATATTATAACCCAATAAAATGGAGAAAGAAATCAGAACCAAAGACATCTATAGGTCCACAGTGTGTGTGTGTGTGCGCGTGTGTATGTGTGCGCGCATGTGAAAAAAAAAACATATACAGACAGGTGAAAGTGTTCCCTAAAATGTCATGTTCCCCACTGGAGGTAAAAAAGTATACCTATAGCCCAGCACTCTAAAGATTGAGGCAGGAAGATAGATATCAAATTGAGACTAGTTTAGGCTACACAGTGAGTCTAAGGCTACCCTAGGCTACATAGTGAGTTGAAGACCAGCATAGGCTACACAGTGAATTTAAGGCCAGCCTAAGCTACCTCAAAAGAACACTAAATCAAAGAAAATGTACACCTTATTCATTTCTAGTACAATCACTCAAAGGAGCCTGCTAGAAACCGCTCTGGAGGACGTGAGAAGACGTGGTACCTGCAGGACGTAGTCGAGTGCTATGTGCCGGAAGCACTTTCGTGTGGCCGTGAGAATGTTTGCAGCCTCCTCAACCTCGTGCTGTTTGTTTCTTTGAACTTGGGCATTTTTTACTAGTGCGTTTTCCTTTTCTTCACTGACTTTTTCAAATTGTTTCTTGGCATCTTTGAATTTTCTAAGATCTCTAAAAAATAAAAATTTAGTGAAACTTTCTTCAAAATAACCTTAGAATTAAACCAGTGCCACTTCCCCTCATGTGCTCTGTCAGACACTGGTAGTCACTGCTAGCCCAGCTGAAGCACGCATCCTTCCAAAGGTCCTCGTTGTCACTTACCTGAGAAGCCTGGGCAAAAGAAGTCCAAAGACTTTTGCGACTTGGGAATATTTATACAGACTGAGTTTCCATCTTAATCCAAATCTCAAGATAAGAGCTCAAAAAGCTTCAGATTTTGACTATTTTAGACTTTTTTTTTCTGAGATAGGGTCTCTGTGTAGCCCAGGCTGGCCTTGAACTCACAGAGATCCATCCTCCTGCTTCTGCCTCCCGAGCACTGGGATTGAAGGCGTGTACCACTACAGCCAGCATATTTTAGATTTCTAATTTTCAGCTTGTGGGACTTATCATTCTGCATATATAAATCCTCATAAGGTGAGCTAATGTTTCACTAAGTAAATCTGTATGAGTCAAAATGGAAATGATAACAAATAATATAACAGATAATTTTCTAAAGATAAATTCAATACATGCACATGGTTTAACTATGATACTGTATTTAAAATACCAGTGTATGTAAGACTTTCTGCAGAGAAATACAGATTTGAATGGCCTTTCCTAAAAATTAAAATTCATTTACCTTCTGAACAAATCCTAAGGGTCTGAGAGGTACTTTAAAACATATTTTTGATTTTAAGAAACAATATTCAGAAACCCACATCAGGGGCAAGAAGGGCTGTTAGCTCCAGGCCAGCCTGGGCTATAGAGCAGAATTCTGTCTCAAAACACATTAAAAATTAAAAAATTAAAAAATTAAAAAATTAAAAAATTAAAAGGAAGCAGAAAAAATGATCTCTTGTTAGAAGGAATTAGTCGAACACATAAAGGATAAAAATGAAGTCTTCAAGCACACATGTGCACACGTGTGTACAGAGCCGCGCCCAGGGGAGGCAGAAGGCCTTGTAACAGTCTGAAAGATGAAGCCCGGCTCTGGGCATTCTCAGTCATATAACACCTCCCTGCCACCACTTCTACTAGGAAGCTGACAAAATAAGCTGAAGACAAATGGTTTTTTATTATATATATATATTTTTTTTTTTGGAAACATTCCAAAGTTTTTATGTGTGTATCTAAGAGTTAAAGCATTATGAAGTAAGTTGTAACCACTGCTGTGAGACATTTTTGTAGGATAAAGTCTAACCTATGGACTAGGATGTGGATCTGAGGCAGAGCCCTTGCTTAACACGGAAGTCTGAGGTGGGGGGTGTCCACCCACAGTGCTGTCTGAAAAATCCCAAACCCAAAATTAACTACCACAGCAACAGGTTATGACATTTGACCCTACTCCTGTATTATAATGTCCCTTACTTATCTTTAACACTGTATCCAAATTAACTTGATACTTCATAAACTCTCAGCTCCAAATTGTAGGAGAAAAACTAGATTACTAAAGTGGAAAAGAAGTTTTCCTTAACTTGGAAAGTTTGAACTTACTTTTTTTTTACTTTCAGTTCAATTTTATTTCATATGTAAACACAATACAACTCTTCCAAAGCATCACAGGTAACAAAGCATGACAGGTAACAAAGCATCACAGGTGACAAAGCATCACAGGTGACAAAGCATCACAGGTGACAACATACTCATTTTTGTGGCTCATTCTTATCTATTACATCATCTTCCCTTCAAAGAAAACACCACATCAAGACTAGATAACAGAGCTTCAAACACAGTATTTCAACCACCCTTGGGGCTTTTAAATTTATCTGCATTGAGAAAACTTTCTAGACTCTCATATGTTCAAGGTGAATCTGATTCTCTTATAGACTTGGACGAAATGAAACACATTTTACAAAACAAACATGCCAGTATTTTCAGAAATTTGAGACCCATAATTTTCTTTTAGCATCTTTAGCCACATCCAGGGCCATGCCCCCAAACACCACCCTGCACCACGTCCCCACAGCAGCTGGCTGGTTATTCTTCCACCCACCACCCACCCCCAACCCCACACCACCCTCTTAACTATACAGCTGACTTACTCTTTGACAAAGTTCTGAAGCTGGGCCTTAATTGATCTCTGAGTTTGGTCAAACAGAATCTGAAAGTAAAACATAACATTGAATGTTAGAAAGAAAATGGAATGTAAATACTACATCACCTCACCAACACCTCATTTCTTACTGAAGACCATGAAAGAAAGTGATGAACGAAACTGAAGCCAGTTTTAAGTCAATTCTACGATCCTCAAAAATAACTTGCTTTTCTTCACTACAGCAAAGAAACCAATTTCAATTCTTCTTCAGATTTTGGAAGACAACCCAACAGCAATGCACACCCCTTTCTCCACGCCAGCTGAGACCAGCAGCAGCACTGCCTGACCCCAGCCAGGAGTTTCCACTGGGAAGACTTGGGACGGGAACAATGGATGCATTGAGTTCCAGTCAGCATTACACAGTCCTGTAGGTCAAAGCACAGCTTTGAGTAGAGAGAAGAACAAAATCTCAGTCCTCAGAACCGTGCTTTGTCCAGGTGTTACTGTGCCCCGTACCCCACGCTAATGCCTCACTACAGAAATTTCAAGCACTTTCAGAATTCTGGGTTGGAAATAGAGTGAGATGAACAGAGGCTGGGGAAATAATACACAAAACTGTCCAAATAAACCCTAATGAATAATTCTAATTTTAAATACTACATCTGCCCAATTTGCTTCCAGGAAAAATGATGTTTCATGTATCCTACTAAGCCCGACAAAAGCAAAAGAAAAGAAACTACAGAAATCAAAATGGAGCTAAATAGAAAATTGATAAAGAAAAAATCAATAAAACCAAAGCATGGCTCTTTGAGATTATAAAATTGGTAAATGCAGAGCCAAGGCTGTGACGAGAAAATAGAAAGGGAGCAGGCCCCACGAGGCAATTTCCACAGGACTGCTCAAAAGAGTGTCCCTAACGAGAAGGCAAACGTAACTGCACGTGGATGTCGGGTGGAGTGACTGGATGCAGTCAGTTAACCTTATCTGACTAGTAGCTGCTGCCCTGGGAACCCAGGCTCTGCCGGGAACCAAATGCATCACAGCCAGCTTTACAGGGAAGGGACAGACCCTGCAAGGTGGCCGCTCTAAAGAAGGTGGCTCTCACCAGCCCACTGTCTCTGTAAGGAAGGTGGCTCTCACCAGCCTGTTGTCTCATTTCAATGCCATGCCTATGACACTCTCGTGGTGGGCTCAAAAAAACCTTTTTTCCCTGTCTGAAGGATGAAGACTTATACAAACACATCTATCTAGCCAAAGCGATGAGGGAACTAAAAAGTCACAGGTATTGGCTATTTAGGAGGCCGGGTATGGCCTTACCATAGGTAGATATTGAAAGGATGATAATGTGTGGTCAGGAACCAATTATAAGCCTATAAACTCAACAGAAAAAGAAACACTTTTGGTTTTGAAACACAAAATCTACCAAAGCTCACTAAAAAGGAACCAATAACTAGCATTCTTAGGAAATAAAAGTTGTGATTTAAAACCCCCATTTCTTATAAGGTCAAGCTGGGCTTAGATGGTGCTTAGCTATCCAATCCAATAGCAAATGCTTCCTATTTATCCAAGAGAAAGACTTGGGCTCACAGAAACACCCAGAGGTGTTTCTACAACCACTATAACCACAACGGCTGGAAATGGAAACAACTTGAATGCCCTTCACCATGAAATGCAAAGACATTAAGACGGTAATAAAAGGGAACATCTCATAATGCATACAAACAGATTCATCTCGGCACACTGGGCTGGGTAAATAAATCCTATTCACAACACCTCACAGGCTGTGATTTATATGATATTTAGAGAAAGCCTTAGGTATAGAAAAGAGATCAGCCATTTCCAGGAGAGATGAGAGAGGGCAGCTGAGAGGTGTGAGGAAAGACAGTGTAAAGGTGTGCTGGGGGAGGGGCTGGCAGACGCTGTGTTATCTTGATTTTAGCGACAAGAAACAGACATACACAGTCAAGACCTTCAAAGTTCTATGCCACAGAGATCAGTTTTCATACATTTGAATTAAAAATAACAAAAAATGGACAGAGTGTGCCTTCTTACCAACTCAGTGCAATTTCTTTAAGTACAAAAGATGACATTTCACACACTCACACACACACACACACACACACACACACACACACACACACAAAAGAAATGAAGGAATAGCAACTTAAACCTGATCTTAGCCAAAAGGCCCAGAAGTGCTACCACCAGCACTAAGTACATAAAACAACTGCAGCTTACGCATGTTGGTGGACACAGATGTGATCAATTTTGGAAAGCTGTCCCAAGTTTTGAAGGTTTTGTTCTCTTTAATGATAGTCAATTTTAAGGAATGCAATATGTAAAAGAAATTTTAATATTTAAGATGAACATTTATATTTGATAAAATTATTTTTCTGTATTTTTTCTCTTAGCACACAATTCCTTCCTTATCCAAGAAGTACAAATTCACATGCCATCCTGAAATGAGCCACTACCTAGACATTTCTATACACACAAATGTTTATCTACAAATATGTGTGTGTGCTATATATGTATGCATGTGTGTATTTAACCAGCAACTGTATCAATAATAGCCAAAACTTAAAAAAAAAAAATACAATGGTTAACTGTGTTAAGCAAAATAGGTCCACAATTTTTTAAAGATTTTTTTTTTCCTTTTGAGACAGGGTCTCACTGTGTAGCTCGTGTCCTGGAACTCGCTACATAGACCAGGTTTTCTTCCAAATCAGGGATCTGCCAATCTCTGCCTTCCAGGTGTGTGGGCCACCACACCAAGCACATTTCTTTTCTTTCCTGAGATCTGATGCCCCGGCTGGCCTCCAACTGGATTATAACACTCATTCTACTCCTCTGGGTCACCCAAGTAGCTCTGACTAAAAGGCCACACTACTTCACCTAGAACATCCACAAATTCTGTGGCAGACCTTCATTCTTTTCTCAGGTGGGAGCTGCTGCCTGCTTCTTCCAAACAGTAATAGAGACTTGACAATATTACTTCTGAGACTGGGTCACAGCAGGCCCTTTGCCTTTGTCTTGAGCCACATCTGCAGAGTAACAGACTCTGTGTCATTAGGACACTCATTCAGCCCTGCAGAGAAGGTCCTTGAAGACAGCAGTGGTGGCATACGACTCTGATACCAGCACTCAGGAGGCAAAAGCAGGAAGATCTCTGTGAGTTCCAGGCCAGCCTGGTCTACAGAGTGAGTTCCAGGCAGCCACACACAGTTTCTCTACACAGAAAAACTGTCTTGAAAAAACAAAAAGAGAGGTGTGAGAGAGTGTGGGGAGGGGTCCTAGGTAGAGAACTTGGGCCTCTGGCTAAGAGGGATATGATTAAAAGCCCTTAGAAGTGGACCTGCCAGCCCATGTGAGGACTGCCCCAATACTTAGGCAAGGTCCAATGAAAGACATCAAGTCATCAGGCCAGGGCCACCCAAGTGAGTCTCTCCCAAACTCCTAATTCAGAAAACTGTAAGGTAACAGACGCTTGTTAGCTTACGCCTCTAAGTCCTGGGCTAGTTGGAATACAGTGACAGATAACACAGCCATCAACAAGTGAATGCTATATAAATGATGGTGTATTCACACCACCAGTGTCACTCAGCAATAAGAAGCAGCCAAGCATCATACACACAATATGACCAAGTCTCAAAATAACTGAGTGAAACTTACTAGGACCCCAAAATCAACCAGACTGGTCAGGACCTGACTAGGGATGAGGGTGGAGGACAGAGAAGGAATTACAAAGAAGCAAAAGAAAACTATGGGGGCACAAAATATGTCAAAGCTTACCACAATCTGTAATTATGCAATATGTAAACTAGTCACTGTAAAAAGTGAATGTATACCAAAGGGAAAATGTACTTTGAAACTGTAGCATATCATCCACACTCTTCAAAACACTACACTCCCAAAATAAAAGTGTATACGTATTTGAATAGCCAGGGAAGTATTCCAAGAAAGTCATTAGTGTCACTTGTGTCTTTCTAAAACATGTCACTACGTATTCCAGGCTGGTTGGAGATTCATTATGTTGCCCAGGCTGCCTTCAAGCATGCAGTCTTCCTGCCTCAGCCTCCCAGGCATGCATCACTGCATGTGGCTAGCTCATCCTTTACAGTGAAGGCCAGGCTGCTAATGCATGGGCAACTGAATAAAAGTTGTCTCCTATGCTGATGTCATCTTAATTCCTAGTCACTACTCTATACCCTGCTAAGGTATGCATTTCTTCCCATATACTAAAAGTAAACAGCTACAATAGCCATCAAGAGAAAGCTAAGGCTCACTTCCACTTCTAGAAAGCTAACACTATTGCTGTGAGCAACCATGTACGACAAATGACCAACAAAGGTTTTCTACTAACTATAGGTTGGTCTCACTAAACTACAGTACAGAATACAGGACTTGAGAACCAGTGCTCATACTCAAGCATTTCCCCTTTGGGTGGGGGCCTCATTAAAGCAACACTCTCTCTGCTATACTCAAGGAAAGATGAGAGCTGAGATGCACACCACAGATGGAAGACAAACCACTTCAGAAAGTCAGCAGGGGAAACCAAAACAAGACAGACAAGAAGACAAACCGGCTACAGAGCTACAGGCAGCACTGGCCCTGCTTCCCATCCCCTGCCGTTATTTAGGGGTCAGTGACTGAGACAACGTGTTGTAAAAGCTTTATGATTCCTATTATTCAGGGAACCACATCCCTCCTATCTGAAGACTGTAGACGACACAAAGTCATCATCAGCCTTTCCAGAATTGAGTAAGGGGCAGAGGAAGGCTCTGACCCTGCAGGATCACTGAGTCTTTCAAGCAATCTCATTAGGCTCATAATAAAGAACTATAATCATCAGCAGGCTCTTCTTTGTAACCCTCAGTAGTTAATGGTTCTGTGAATTACTGTTACTCTTGTGATAAAGTAACTGACAAAGCCAGCTTCAAGAGTTTATTTTGACTCCATCACGGCAGGAAAGGCATGGTAGTGGAAGAGAACATAGTTGTGCCAGCAGAAACGGGAGACACTTGGTCACACTGCATCTGCTGTCAGAAAGCAGAAAGACATAAACC